CAAGTAGTTCCGCCAAAGATGAATATTTGCTGTTGGAATCAGAATGAGAATCCAGAATGCACATCTTCAGACACCTCATAAACACATCAGTGAGAAGGACGTAGCACTCCCCTCAGAGAGGGATTTGGAAGAGAGAGAAAAAGAGGGGATAGAGAAGAGGAAATGAGCTGATTTCTGGGCTGTAGCATTTCAGAGTTTGGGAATGCAAGGGATTAAGAACCAAACTGACAAGCCAGGAGGAGATAAGACCCTGGAGGCACAGACACGAGCTCCTCGTGAGTAATGAAATAAAGTAACTTGATGTGACTGTTAAACTTCCTCTGTGAGTCACATTGCATTTCCCCCCGGTGACCCAGGCTTCTGAAACTGTTGACAGGTACCATCCACACTCACTCTACCTTTCAACATTTTCCCCCTACTTCCTATGCCTTGAGTTAGAAACATCAAATAGATCAGAGTCATCTGATTAGGTGCACTGAAAAATCAAGATGTAACTCAAGGGATACCATGGTGGAAAAGACACAACTGGTCTCTGTTCTCACAGCGCTTCCAGTCCAATGGGAAAGGCAGGCCCCAAACAGATAAACAGAAGATTGGGTTGAGTTCTATGAAGAAAACAAACAGGGAACTGGGTGGATGATGGTGCCATTGACTGAGACATAGAAGATTGAAAGGGAAAGAAGTCAAGAGTTCCGGTCCCCACATTATCCAAACAGAGACATCAGGGAGGTTGTTGGATATGGGAGTTTGATGCTCAGAGGAAAGTTTTGGCCCACAGGTTGAAAAAGTCTCCTACTGACCTTTGAGGTTCTCTCAGGTTCTATCTCTTCTTGGAAGCTTTCTCTGATAACATAATTCCTAGGGGTCTTCCCTCTCATGACCATTATTCACTCACTCATTCTCCTCTGTGCTAGGCTTGGCGCTGGGAATGGCTTGGTGCCCTCGATGAATTTATGTTCTAGGTGTGGAGTCAACCGATAGAGGAGACAACTGTAACACAGAATGGTAAATGCTGTGTGAGAGGAAAGCCCAAGGGGCTGTAGGAGCAGAGAAAGTGGGCCTCTGTGCCAGTCAGGTCCTGCAGGAAGAAGATGGCTATCTCATATGGATAATTCAAGAAGGCTCTATTCAGAGATGTGCAGAGAGTGGGGAATCCACAGGGGTTGTGAGATATCCTGGAGCTGAAAGCACCTGGGCATCACTACCACCCATAGGCCTGAAGAGGAAAGAGAAGGAGGTGGTTACAGGAATCTAGACTCAGGGAGAGCTCTAAGAGAGGGCTGAGGGCAGAGGGAGCTGTGAGCCTCAGTTGAAGATGCAGCAAGAATAACAACAAAATATTTTTTTTTTTAAGTAAGTGAAATATATACGAATCATCTGGTAAGGTGTTACTGAAAAGTAAGGCAGGGGATGGAGGTAGGGAGATAGGAGAAAGGAGGAATTAGCATTTGGAAACTGGATGCTCAGGGAAGGCCTCACCAAGAAGGTGACATTTAAGCCAAGACTTGTTTGCAGCATATCTCTAGGTGAGTCTTCCCCTTATCCCTTCAATCAGCTCATCCTACCCTCAAACTCCATCCACCCCACTCCCCCATCTTCCCCATCCCAGGGTCAGGGCCATGTCTCCAATGTCTTTGGATTAGGGAACTCCTTGAAGTCCCTGTCAGACTAGAGATCCCCAGGGACAGGAACTCTGTTTCCTCCCACTCTTTCTCATCCAATGACAATAGAAGCTGCCATTATTAAGCCTATGCCTCACGCTAGGCCCGGCTCTAGGCATATTATACACATCACTTCATCTAAACCTCCTGGCAAGGCTCCGGGGCACAGCTGGGGAACATGAGGCAGCTCAGCCCCCTTTCCAAGGCCCAGTTGCTTTCCCTGACATGGTTCCTGCCTATCCTCACCCCAGAGAAGGGGAAGTAAAGGATAGACCTTAAATTCTACTTTTTTTTTCTTTGAGATGGAGTCTCGCTCTGTCACCCAGGCTAGAGTGCAGTGGCGCAATCTTGGCTCACTGCAACCTCCGCCTCCTGGGTTCAGGCGATTCTTCTGCCTCAGCCTCCCGAGTAGCTGGGATTATAGGTGCATGCCACCATGCTCAGCTAATTTTTTTTGTATCTTTAGTAGAGACGGGGTTTCACCATATTTACCAGGCTGGTCTTGAACTCCTGACCTCATGATCCGCCCGCCTCCCAAAGTGCTGGGATTACAGACATGTGCCACTGTGCCCGACAATTTTTTTTTTTTCTTGAGATAGGGTCTCACTTTGTTGTCCAGGCTGTAGTGAGTGCAGCGGCACAATCTCGGCTCACTGCAGCCTCGACCTTCTGGGCTCAAGCAATCCTCCACCTCAGCCTCTCAAGTAGCTGGTACTATAGGCACATGGCATCATGTCCAGCTAATTTTTGTATTGTTCGTAGAAATGAGGTCTCACTATGTTACCCAGGTTGGTCTTGAACTCCTAGGCTCAAGTGATCCACCCACCTTGGCCTCCCAAAGTGCTGGGATTACAGGCAGGAGCCACTGCTCCTGGCCGACCTTAAATTCTTGAAGGACTGTAAAAGGGAACACAGATCAGACTTCTATTTTATGTCTCCAATGGGTGCAAGGACCAAAGGGTAGAAGTCAACAAGAGGCAGTTTTTGTTAAAATGTGAGAATATCCTAACAGTCAGAGCTGTCTGACTGCCTTGCAGGCAGTGAGCTCCCTAGAGGTGTGCAAGAGAAGCTGGATAGCCTCATGTCAAAAATGAAATAGAGGTGGGGTGTGGTGGCTCACGCCTGTAATCCCAACACTTTGGGAGGCCAAGGCGGGCAGATTACTTGAGGTCAAGAGTTCGAGACCAGCCTGGCTAACATGGCAAAACCCCATCTCTACTAAAAATACAAAAATTAGCTGGGTGTTTTGGCACACCTGTAATTCCAGCTACTCAGGAGGCTGAGGCACAAGAACTGCTTGAACCTGGGAGGCAGAGGTTGCAGTGAGCCGAGATCGCACACTGTACTCCAGCCTGGGTGATATGTTTCCAAAAATAAAGAAATGGGAGGATCTGTTAGGCTCATGAGGGATTTGACTAGGAAACTCGTAAGAATTCTTCCAATTTACATTCTAGAATCCTAAGATATGATTCTAAGACTTTGGTTCTAAGATTTTATTAGAACAAAAGACAATCCCTATCTTCAAAGAACTCACAACCTAGCAGATGAGGTGGACAAATGGTTACTTTCTATAACTGTCATAAACAGTCCTAGAGAGTAAATGCAAGGCCATGGGCAGGATCTGAGAAGGAACCCTGACCAACCCAGGACTGCATGGCTAGTCTCAAGAACCATCTGCATCAGAGTCATTTGGAAATCTTGTTTAAAAATGCTGATTTCTGGGCTGCACTCCAGATTTCCTGAATTAGAGCCTCTGGAGTGGAGCCCGAAAGTCTACTCAGTAAAACAAACTCCCATGGGGATTCTTAGGCAGATTGAAAACTGAGGCTGCAGGACAGGCACGGTGGTTCATGCCTGTAATCCTGGCACTTTGGGAGGTGGAGGTGGGCAGGTCACTTGAGCCCAGGAGTTCGAGACTAGCCTGGGCAACATGCAGAAACCCAGTCTCTATAAAATACAAAAATTAGCCAGGCATGGTGGTGTGTCCCAGCTACTCAGGAGGCTGAGGGAGGAGGATCACTTGAGCCCAGGAGTTCAAGGCTGCTGTGAGCCATAATCACTCCACTGTACTCCAGTCTGGGTGACACAGTGAGATCCTGTCTCAAAAAAAAAGAAAGAAAGAAAGAAAAGAAAGAAAGAAAGAAAAGAAAGAAAAGAAAGAAAAGAAAGAAAAGAAAGAAAAAGAAAGAAAAAGAAAGAAAAAAGAAAGAAAGAAAGAAAGAAAGAAAGAAAGAAAGAAAGAAAAGAAAGAAAGAAAGAAAGAAAGAAAGAAAGAAAGAAAGAAAGAAAATTGGATTTGTTAGGTGATAAGGATGACTTTTCCACAGAGGTGATCTCCAGATTGAGAAGGAATAGCTGGGGGTCAAATCCCGAGGTAGGTACAATATGCCTTATGGGTCAAAACAAGGTAGGTACAATATGCCTTAGATATATTCTGAGATTCTGTAATTGAGAGTATGTGCCTCAGATATCCTGGAGCAGACCTCTGCAAGGGAGTGAGAGAGCCGGCCTGAGGTTGTTATTAATTATTCTGAGGCAGTGAGCCGGTAAAAGGGTGCTCCACAGGGTCCCTGGGAGAAATTCTCTGAAACTGTTCCTTTCTCTGCCACTAGCCTCTTGGCTCTTATTCCCCAGCTGCCCCAGTTCTCTGAAGCCTGCAATGTCACCAGCGAGGAAACAACGGTTTGAGTGAGGGCATGGTGGTGGAAAATAAACTGTTGTGGGACAGAGATGAGTAAGGTGTGGCTGAACACAAGTTGGTCAGGCACTGTCAGGAACTTTTGAGGCTTGATGGAGGAAACACCTGCTGATGCTACTCAGAGAGAGGGGGTGTGTAGCGGATTTTGGGTCTGGGCTCTGCCACCTGGGCAAATCCCTTCTCCAACTGGGCCTCTGCATCCTATGTAGAAAAGTTTGTGTAAGAATCATATTAACTTGCTGTTGACCCTTTGGTTTTAATACTTTGGACTCAAAGGTCTCATCTGACCCCAACCATAAGCCTGTGAAGAATGCATGGTGGAACTATACCAACTTTACAGCGAGGCCAAGTCCCGGTGAGGGGCAGCGACTCGCCCACCACCACACAGCCACACCACAGCAAAGTCGGCTCCTGGAGATCGGCCTCATGCTGGGCTTGCTGAAGCCCGGCGGAGCGAGAGGCTTTCGGTCTCTGGTCCAGGAAGCAGGCGCTGCAGGGGACGGAAGGGTCGTAGCCCACGGCCAGGGGAGGCCAAGGAACTGGGCGGAGGCACTCAAGGCCAGCCCCGGGAGAAGTGGGTGTGCTGGGGCCCGGGCGGGGCAGGGGGAGGGGACGCCTGGGGGAGGGAAAAGGGAGCCGAGCGCGGGTGGGAGCCCAGAGCCAGAGAGCGCGCTGGGCGGTGCCGGGCATCCGCGGAGTGGAACGGGACCGGTGGAATGCACAGGGTCGCAGCGCCTGGGCCATCCTCGGTCAGAGGCCAGCGAGCAAACGGGCGCCCCAGAGCCTTGCTGAGAGGTAGGTAAGGCACCCACTGAGCTGGGAAGGCTGAGCTACAGCCTGGGGTGCAAGTGAGGGGTCTTCCGCCTCCCTTCCAAGGGTCACGGGGCGCTCTCCGTGAGACCGTGGAACCGACGAGGCGTGGGGCAGGGGTGGGCGCTGCAAATACGGAGCAAGTCCTCCGGGATCCTCCCCGATCCTCCCGAGCGCAGTGATCGCAGAGCAGCATGTGGGAGTAGGGAGCTGGGCTCTGCGCGCTCCGTCTGGAAACCGTGGGGACTTGCGCCGTTACTCCCAGCCCTCAAGACGGCGACAAGAAAAGTTCTTCCACACCCACAGGAGTGCAAGCGAACACCTGCGGCTGGCAGCCAGTGCACGCGCAGAAAAGACACTTCAGGACCCAGCACAGTCTCATTTGGCCGGGGCCACTGGCTCTGCGGAGCTGACTTGCCCATTCCCTCTACCACACTGTGTCCCTCACCCTGTCTGACCTAGTCCCGGGAAAGCTGGGGACTCCCCAAATAATCTTCTGCTGCCAGTAACATAGGTCGAGGCTGGGAGTTGGGAGACTTGAGTTCTAGTTTACAGGCTGTGTAAACCCGGGCAGTCACCCCTCAGCTCTGCGCCTTGCGCTCGCTTTTCCTGGATCACCATTTGTAAAATGGGCCTCCTGCTCTTGTTGCCTGCATACCCCATGGGACAGAAGGAGAAAGGGGGATTGGACCTGGGAGTCTCTTATCTCGAAAATAAGTGAGTTTAGTCCTTGCATGAAAGCCCACCAAAGTATCCCCTCCTAAAATCCTCTCCAGACTCCCCACTAATTTGCATATAGGGAAACTGATACCCCAGGGGAGATGATTTACCTAAGGTTACAACAGAGACCAAACAGTATTAGAACCCAAGTTTCCTCAGTCCTAGCCCAGGGCTCTCTCCACTTCACCTACAAAGGCATATTGTAAACGTGTGAGCGCCTCCTTATTTCCTTGCATCCGTCCACTTTGTCTGTTCCTGATGGAGGAGACCCATGCTGGGGGCCTGGAAACTGCTTTCAGATTTTCTTGACTCCTTGAGATGATAACCATCACCTTCTCCATCCCTCACTCACTCCATACCTCTCAAAGCACGTCCATAAATTTAATGTGCTAGTGGTCAAAATACCTTCTGAGAGGGAAGAAAGACAAGAAACTCCAGCTTATTGATGAGGAAAATGAGGCCTAGAGTGATAGTTACTCAACCAAACTGCATGACTAGACGTGTTGGCATAGTAGGGGCAGGAACCCAGGTCTCCTGATTCCCCCTCTGATGTGTTCTCCACCAGCTACAGGACTACAGAATGGTACCCCTCAATGATAAAGGACTGCAGGGATGATCAGAGAGGGTGGGAAACAAGGAAGGCTTCTGGAGAAGGTGAGGTTCCTGGGAATCAAGAAGAATAAGAAGAACCTCCTGGTTGCGTCTGAGGCTAGGAGAGCTGGGGTGGGAAAGGAGACATAGAGATGGCTGTTCTTGATAATATGGGGGGAAAGGAAAGATATGGAGACAGAAAAGGAAACAGTGTGACCAGGCTGCCTGATAATTTTCTTGTATGTTTGCAGTTTCTAAAACTTTCCCATCTCTTGTCTCCTCCAGTTCTCATGTGAGTTAGGCAGGGCAGGGATCATTATCCCCATCTTATAGATGAGGTTCAGAGGAAGTAAATGCAGTGCTCAAGGACACAGAGCCAAGCATACAGCCAAGATTAGAATCATGAAAGGAACACTTGAACGGCAAGATCACAAGCCGAAGGACCGGGGAGTTGGACTGTGTGTGTGTGTGCAGTGGGTGGGTGTATGTAGCCACACCCTGGGTAGGTACACAGGGAAGAGGGTTGCAAAGCCATTGCTGGTGTTTTGAGGCCAAGAATGTTTGCCCTTTGGATTGAATGGGGTCCAGGTGCAGGGAGCATCTGGGCTTCCAAAGAAAGCTTAGAATTCCTCCTCCTGTGACTCACCCCACCTGACTGAGATGACTTCTTTTCTTTGAGCCATCCCTTCCCCAGACCAAATGAAATCTGTTTTGCCCTTCCCTGGAGGTTGCTTTTTAAATATTGCAAGCTGTTTTCATGAATGTATATGTGTGTGCCAGAGCAGAGGAATGCTCTTAGAGAAGAGGCATTGATTCATTTATTCTTGAATGCCTGCTAGGTATCAGGGCTGGGAAATAAAGAAATGTATGAGGCACAGGACCCTGTCCTCTTACCTCAAAGCATAGTTACACACACACACACACACACACACAATTTCAATTACAGCATAGTGCTCTAATCAGGTTTCGTGCAAACCACTTTTGGGAAAAAAAACAAGAGGGAGAGACTAACTGGCTAGGGAGTGAGGAAGGAGGTGTCCCAGGAGAAGGTCTACAGAGATGAATTGGAGCTGGGTCTTGAAGGATGAGTAGGAGTTTGCCGGGCAGGTAAAAAGAGGAAGGGCATTCTTGTTTAAGAAAACAGCATGAGCAAAGGCAAGAGATGTGCAAGTGCAAGGAGTATTTGGAGAGCGGCCTGTAGTTCAGTGTCATGGGTGCAGGCCACTGAGAAGAGCTGCGGGGAGATGAGGCCAGTGTCAAAGAGTCACATTTCAAGGAGCTTCAGTGGTAATGAGAAGAGTTTAGAGTCTGCCCTACTGGCAGAAGGGAACTTATAGTGGAAAGGTCTGTGGAGGGGAAGTCAAGATACTTGGTTTCTGGCTCCAACTCTGCCACTACTGGGCTGTGAGACTTTAAGCAGGTGATTGCCTTGGGGAGGAGGGTCTATTTTCTCACTGGTTGAATGAGGGGGTTGCACCAACAACATGATCATGAAGATCTCTTCCAGCTCAGATTCTATTCCTTTGTCCTTCCAACTGGATGCTAGGGGCTACTCCTTCAACTCCTCTCCCACTCCACCAGTTCTCCAGTCCACAAGAGTGGTAAGACCACTGACGGGACAGTGGCAAAACTGTACACCCCAGGAGCTGTCTTTGGATCACCTACCTGCTTTATGTGACTTTTTCTACCTGCCTCTCTGTACTTCATTTCCAGACACTGAAGACGCTCATTCTGAAAGAGTAGCTGAAATGGAGCAATGGGAAAGAAAGACCCAAGGGTAGAGTTTCACTTTTCCCCAGAGCAACCTGAACGAAAACCCCCCTAAGATCCCCAGTTCATCCCTCAGATCACAGCTTCAGTCCCCAAGTAGGGGTTGGACAAGTGCAAGGCAAGTGCATTTTGTGAGAACCTGGTAATATGTGGGAAATAGCAGGAACAGAGAGTGAACCTGGCTCATCTAGGGAATCAGGAGTAGGTCTGGAGCAGCGGGGTGCATGGGAGACGAGAGCATAAAGGAAGGCTACCTCCTCCTCTGAAGCTTACCAAGCTCCATCTCACTGGGTCCTTGACTAAGATTGGTGAGAATCTGTGGTGCACGAAAAGGCCATAGTAACAAAGTTAGAGGAGATGATGCCCCATGACACTAGGAGGCTGTGTCTGGTGTGATGTGAAGCTTAGACGTGAGGAAACACTGCCATTTGTAGTGGAAAGAGCACCTGAACAGTACCCCCAAACACCTGGGTTCTTGTCTGAGTGCTGCCATTTATGGGCCACGTCATTTTGGACTAGTCACTTCTCCCTTCTGAGCCTCAGTTCCCTCATCTACGAAATGGAGGGTTGACCTGGAATCTAGATTCTAGAAGATCCTTAAAGTCCCTGTCAGCTTGGCCATCTGCTCACCTTCTTTCCTCACTGGCCTATCTTCTATTTCAAGGCAAGACCTCTCCAGGGCAGGAGCTCTGTCTTTCCCATCCAGGGATCTTGGTAATCAGGGACAGGGAAGCCAAGGAACTCAGAAACAGTGGCAAAACTCCCCTGTTCCTGACTGTGAGTCCCCAGCTTGAGCCCCAGAGGCAGTCCCAGAGCCCCATAGAGAACCAACCTGTGCCTCCATCAGCTTTCTGCCTCTCCTAATTCAGACAGGAGGCCCTTGCACCCAGGCCCTCCCTCCCACACAAACCCAGCACCTAGAGGTGTGGAACTATGGCCTCTTTCCTCCTCCTGTGAGAATCACAAACATCCTAGTCTATCCAGAGAAGCCCTGAGGTGTGAAAGGTCTCATGAATCTTTATTCCTCTCATGGAACACTGCCTCAAAGCCCCCCGCTGACCTCCACACTGTCCCCTTCTCCCACTTTCTGCAGAGTCTATCTCCTCCTCAGGCTGGATCATCCTGGCAGGTGAGCTGTGAAGAGGAAAAATGAGTAAATCCCTCAGTTTGGCTCAGCTGGGATATTAGATGTAAGTCAGTCCCAGGGCTCAGAAGCATCTTAACTTGTGAGGAAAAGGTCCACAGCCTTCTCTATCTTGGGATTTGAGAAGCTCTAGAAATCCCCCAAAATGCTTCTCCCATCAGCCTAACTTCCCATGGTTTCACAGCTTGGTTTCATGATTCAAATCATCACAGGACGTTAGAACCAACTGGGACCCCTTCATTTTACAGATGCAGACAGAAGCTGAGGCACAGAAAAGGGAAGTCTTATGTCCAAAGTCACACAAGGAGCAGCTGAGCCGGGACAACCCCCTGGGTTTCCATTTCCTTCACCGTAAAGTAAGGGCATATAGCCTAGATGGGCTCTGAAGGCCCTTCCAGCCTCTGCTCTATAAAATACAACCACCGGCATCTGTGCAGTGTCTAGTGCCAAGTACTACATGATGTTCTTTAATTTTCACAACAAAGCTCTGCTACAGAGAGTGTTCATTCTGTGACCGTGTTCATATCCTGTCTATCTGAATAGATTGGGTGGTAACACATCATTTGTTTCTGTGTAAAATATCAACGCAGCTGGCATTCTCCCACTCATGTCTGTTCCCTTGGCATTCTAAAAGGCCCTTGCTAAGGTAACCCTTAGGAAAGGGAATGTTTGAGGCTGCATCATCAGCTGGTCCCTGAGTGGGAGTCCACATGTTAAATAGGTTTCTCATGATGTCACCCAATGAAGACACTAAGTCTGGAGTTGGGGGACAGCAATCAGAGGCCCTTTGGTCACTGCACAGTTCCTTTAACTGCAACCCTAGGCTGGCCTGACCCAGCTGCTGCAGGGAGGGGAGGGGCTGTGGGAGGGGGTCAGAGCCCACAGCAGGACTATTGCATAATACCTGGGGCCTGGCCTTGGGCAATCCACCCTGGTTCCTTCCTTTTCTGCTTTCTCTCCTGCTTTCTAGCTCTGGGCTTTCCCAGCTCCGAAGTCAATACTGAGATCTCAGATGTGTCCAGAGACATCCTGAAGAGGCTCGGGGGTTGAGGAGCCTTAGTGTGTCCACAAAGAGACTCCTGAAACTGACTGCGAGCCAGCGGATTTGCCAGCTGGTGAGTCTTCCAGATTGAGATTTCCCGCCCTCTCTCCCTGTCAGTTAAAACCCCTTTCTGATGATACGTAAGAAAACTGAATGGTAACTGCCCTGCCCTGGGATTGGAGCTCGGGACGACTAGGAGCTTTCACCTTCACAGTATGTGCTGCGTCCATTTTTTTTTAAAAACCTATATGTACATATTTGCTTCCTGAAAATAAAAAGTTTTTAATCTGTCTTCTGTATAATACAAGTGTATACTCATAGCAAGCCTTGAAGGAGGAGGCCAAGGATGATCATTTTTCTTTTCTTTTTTTTTTTTTGAGACAGAGGTCTTGCTCTGCTGCCCCGGCTGGAGTGCAGTGGCATGATCTCGGCTCACTGCAACCTCCGCCTCCCAAGTTCAAGCGGTTCTCCTGCCTCAGCCTCCTGAGAAGCTGGAAATAGAGGCATGTGCCTGGCTAATTTTTGTATTTTTAGTAGAGACGGGGTTTCTCCACGTTGGCTAGGCTGGTCTCGAAATCCTGACCTCAGGTGACCCGCTCACCTCAGCCTCCCAAAGTACTGGGATTAAAGGAGTGAGCCACCACACCTGGCCTATTTTTTTAAATTGTGCTTAAAACACACACACATAAAAATGTACCATCTTAGTCATTCTTGAGTGTACACTCAGTAGTGTTAGCTAGATTCACCTTGTTGTGCAGCAGATCTCCAGAACCTTTTCATCTTGCAAAACTGAAACTCTATACCTACCATACAACAACTCTATGGTCATCTCTTTTGGTAGATGAGGAAACTGAAGCCCAACCAGGAAAAGGAACTTATTTCCTTCAGAGTAGGCTCCTCCAGACACTTACACTGTTTGTTTGTTGTCTACCTGTGAAATTGCCTGAGGCCCCTTCCTCCTTCAACCCTTACTTGGCCATTTCCTCCTCAGGTCTCACATCTGTCTCTACCCCCACTTCCCCACTTTGTTATCCTCTCTGCCCCAACTCGTGACTCAGCATCTTGCACTAAACTATTTCAAGACTCTTGTAGCTGGGCTCACTGCCTCAATTCTAGCTCCCTCCAGTCCACATGACAGTCAGAGTATCCTTTCCAGGCACAGATCTGACCATTTTATCTTCCCTAGCTACAGAATAAAGTTCCAACTCTACAGCATGGCACTCAAGGCTCCCCATGATCTGGCTCCTATCTCTCCTGTCCCACATCCTATGCTATTCTTCTACACATCTTACACTTCAACCTCTTTATGCTACTTTCCATTCTTCTAAACATGTACACACTTTGTTGTGCCTTTGCTCATGTTGCCTTCCTTTGTCTTCTCTGCCTCTTAAAAATCCTTCAAGGTCCAACTCAAATGCCTCCATCACTGTGGACACTCTCTAAGCCCTGATCAGTATCCATTACTTATTCCTTTCAGCCTTAGTAGCTCCTGGCTTGTCCCCTGCATTGTATCAGAGCAGCGCCCCTGGATCTGGGCGAAGGCACTGGATCTGAGCCACCCCGAGCTCCCATCACAGGGCCTGGCCCATATTGGTGATAACTATCTGGATGATTTTTTGAGTTATTTATTTCCTCATGCTGCTCCTACTTGCTATTGGCAGACACGAGGGAAGCAGCAGCCACAGATCTTTTGCCTGACACATGGGGTAGTAGATGAGAACGTATATCTCCTGGATCTTAACTCAGTGAGCTCTTGTTCTTCTCCCCTCCTCCATCCAGACAGGACAGCACGAGTACTAGATGGCAGAGGGCCCCAAAGGCCTTGCATAAAATGCCGCCCAGTCCTGGCTAATTGCGTTCATAGAGCCATTGATGAATATTTATCATGGTCAGAATGATCGTATTTTCCAGGGAAGAGATCTTATGGTTAATAGTCACATTAGTTAACTTTAGTTTGTTAACAGTTCTGCCCATATGATGGAGGACTGAATGCTTGGCCCATAGAGAATTCCTTAAAGTGGACATCTTTACTAGAAACTATTGAGAGAAGGATAATACCCATTCAGTCTTAGGGCAGTCCCCTAGAAAAAGGGAATGCCCAGCCAGTCGCAGGGTAGTGCCCTGGGAAAGGAGAACACCCAGTCTCAGGGTAGTCCTCCAGATTGGAGGAAGAGACATAGCCCTGCTGACCAGGCGCATGTGGCCTGATGATATCCTTATCAAAAACAAGAGGATAGCCACATATTGCCTTATATGTTAAGTGTTGGGGGGAAGGGAAGGCTGTGATGATAAAGGTGGTGTAGTGTGGCTGAGGGGTGGGGAGCACTGAACGGAGACTTCCCTAAAGGAAGTGAGTGTGGGGCCTTGTTTACAGGGAATGACATATGGTTTTTCAGAGACAAGGATGCAAGTCTGTTTTAAGATGTTCTTTCTGACTGGGCACAGTGGCTCACGCCTGTAATCCCAGCACTTTGAGAGGCTGAGGCGGGTGGATCACGAGGTCAGGAGATCAAGACCATCCTGGTTAACACGGTGAAACCACATCTCTACTAAAAATACAAAAAAGTTAGCTGGGCATGGTGGTGGGCGCCTGTAGTCCCAGCTACTCGGGAGGCTGAGGCAGGAGAATGGCGTGAATCTAGGAGGCGGAGCTTGCAGTGAGCTGAGATCGCGCTACTGCACTCCAGCCTGGGCGACGAGCGAGACACCGTCTCCAAAAAAAAAAAAAAAAAAAAGTTATTTCTATATTATAGACTAAGGATCTCTGAGAAGAAGGAAAAGGAACATTTATAATCACTTAGTATATGCCAGGTACATAATGACTTTATTTCAGGAGACAAGATAGTTGGCGTGCTTGTGTCTTCTTTTTGTGGGCAGGTAAACCCCAAGCCAGACTGAGAACTCCTTTCACTCTCCCGCCCTCAGGCCCAAGCTGTTCTTCTCTTCTCCAGTGCCTACAGTGGTTACCAACCTGTTCCCATTTCCCTGACCACCTCCTTTCCAACAGAATTTCTGCAAATAACTAGGAATATCTAGTCTTTGGGACACAGGATGCTTGAGAGCTCAAATGATCCAGCTTCTGGCCTCTAGGTAGGATGAAATTTAAACCATCCCCAGGCATCTTCCAAAAAGGTGTCCATGGAGTCTTTTTTTTTTTTTTTTCTTTTGAGACAAAGTCACACTCTGTGGCCCAAGCTGGAATACAGCAGCTCTATCTTGGCTCACTGCAACCTCCACCTTCTGGGTCCAAGTGATTCTCCTGCCTCAGCCTCCCAAGTAGCTGGGATTACAAGTGCTTACCGCCATGCCCAGCTAATTTTTGTATTTTTAGTAGAGATGGGGTTTCACCATGTTGGTAAGGCTGGTCTCCAACTCCTGACCTCAAGTGATCCACCCACCTCAGCCTCCCAAAGTGCTGGGATTACAAGCGTGAGCCACTGTGCCCAGCCTGTCTGTGGAGTCTATAAAGAGAACTGTGCTGAAGGAGAGTTGTGATGAATGTCTTCTTATGGTGCCACACAGTCCTGCTGAGAGCTAGCTTGGAAGTGGAAGCAGCTCTAAGCTAGCCACAAGGAGCAGAGCTTTCTGTCTTGGCTCTACCTCCAATATTCTGTGATCATGGACAAGCCACTTCTTCTCTCAAGGCCTCAGTTTCCCTGTGTATAAAATGGCAAGAGTTACATTAAATAATCCTTAAGGTCCTTCTAACCTGAAGTTCAGTGATTTATAGAATCTAAAGAAATGAGAGATTAATATGGGTTCTGATGGTTGGGGAAGGCTTTATTCTACAATTATTTATTGAGTACTTATTGAGTGCTGTCATAAGTGATTGCATATAGCAGTCAGTAAAACAAATATAGGCCCTGCCTTTATTATTTAGTATGTGGTCTAGTGGAAAAGACAAACATGTAATCAAGTAACCAGAATAAGCTATTGTATTAGTCCATTTTCATACTGCCATGAAGGAATACCCGAGCCTGGGCAGTTTATAAAGAAAAAGAGGTTTAATGAACTCACAGTTCCACATGGCTGGGGAGGCCTCACAATCACGGCAGAAGGCAAAGGAGGAGCAAAGGCACATCTTACATGGTGGCAGGCAAGAGAGCAGGTGCAGGGGAACTGCCCTTTATAAAACCATCAGATCTCTTGAGACTTATTTACTGTCATGAGAACAGCATGGGAAAAACCCACCCCCATGATTCAGTTACTTCCTACTGGGTCCCTCCCATGACACATGGGGATTATGGGAGCTATGATTCCAGATGAGATTTGGGTGAGGACACAGCCAAACCATATCAGCCATGATGCTAGGATTTTACTGGGATCTGAAGGGAGGAGGTCATTTGAGCTCCAGGTGACAGAGCCATCCCCTCTCTCTTTTCTCTTGCCACCAGAGCTTCTACCGAATCTTCCCCCACCTCAATCCCTGTTGCTATGGAGACTACCAATGGAACTGAGACTTGGTATGAGAGCCTACATGCCGTGCTGAAGGCTTTAAATGCCACTCTTCACAGCAATTTGCTCTGCCGGCCAGGGCCAGGGCTGGGGCCAGACAACCAGACTGAAGAGCGACGGGCCAGCCTACCTGGCCGTGATGACAACTCCTACATGTACATTCTCTTTGTCATGTTTCTATTTGCTGTCACTGTGGGCAGCCTCATCCTGGGATATACCCGCTCTCGCAAAGTGGACAAGCGTAGTGACCCCTATCATGTGTATATCAAGAACCGTGTGTCTATGATCTAACACGAGAGGGCTGGAATGGTGGAAGACCAAGACACCTGGGGATTGCGTCTGGGGCCTCCAGAACTCTGCTGTGGACTGCATCAGGTCTCAGTGTCCCTATCTGTAAGAGCAACAAGAAACAGGGCTAAGGGAGGTTGTCACTGGGGTGGGAGAAGAGGGGCTGGTAGACCGAAGCCTTGTGCATAAGGATTTTTTCCCAGGAAAAGATAGACTTTATAAACAGTGGGAGTCCATGAACAAACATATAAAAGTAGCAACAGACAATGACCAATAACTGGTTCAGTGGCTGGAGTACTGGGGGCCTGAAGGTTGGAGAAAGGAGAAGTTGTAGCAGAGGGAAATGAGACAGGAAGATGCTCTGGGGACACATTTTTTATGTGTTATCTTCAAAAGCCATGAGAAGCAGTGATGATTATCCCATATCACAGATATGATTTACCACCACCACCCTGCCACCACTCCCACTCGCGCTCCCATAAAGAAAGCAGGGCAAGTGCTGTGCCGCCCATTTGGGCCTGAGTAGTGCCATGATTGGAACCCAGGAACTCTGGTCTCCTTGCCTAGTGCTTTTCAAAACTCTGTGCCACACAGGAGTGGATCCAGGCCTGAAGGTCATACAATTCTGGGGACACTCTCTTTAAGAAAAAGAATTCTAAAATATCTTACTTTTGCAAACATTATGAAAATATACTGCCACATTAATATGTTGCTAGGGCCCCTACTAGGACCTTAAGAAGGAGCTCATGTGAGTCAGGACCCTGAATGTTAGGCCTTGTTAGCTCTATGGTTCATACACTTCTTGAACCAAGTCACAGGGTACCTACAAGCCACATTGCCAGTCAACAGGACTAAACTACCTCCAAAGCTGCCTCTTCAGTTTTGAGTTCTGTGAGAAATGTTTTCTTTTTCTTTTTTTTGAGACAGTCTCCCTATGTCACCCAGGCTGCAGTGCAGCGACCCAGTCTTGGCTTACTGCAACCCCCACCTCCCAGGTTCAAGCAATTATCCTGCCTCAGCCACCTGAGTAGCTGGGATTACAGGTTCCTGTCACCACACCCAGCTAATTTATATATATATATATTTTAAGTAGAGGCAGGGTTTCACCATGTTGTTGCCCAGGCTCGTCTCGAACTCCTGGCCTCAAGTGATCTGCCCATCTCGGTCTCCCAAAGTGCTGGGATTACAGGTGTGAGCCACCACGACTATCTGTGAGTTTTCTGATGTCATATTGAATCTGCTTCTAAAAGACTGATATTGCCAAGGTGGGCGGATCACCTGAGGTCAGGAGTTCGAGACCAGCCTGGCCAACATGGTGAAACCCCGTCTACTAAAAATATACAAAAATTAGCCAGGCCTGATGGCAGATGCCTGTATTCCCAGCTACTTGGGAGGCTGAGGCAGGAGAATTGTTTGAACCCGGGAGGCGGAGGTTGCAGTGAGCCAAGATTGCACCACTGCACTCCAGCCTGGGCGACAGAGCAAGGCTCTGTCTCAAAAAAAAAAAAAAAAAAAAAAAAAAAAGACAAGACAAGACAAGACTGATATCGCACCTAAAATACTATTATATTAAAAGAAGCAGAGTATGAGACGTAGGTACATGGTCCAGTAGGAAGAGAAGCAGCCCTGATTCTACCACTTAAGGTGGTATATGATCTTAGGCTGGACACTTCTATCTCTCATCTGTTTTCCTCTTCAACATAATGAAATAGACTTGAAAGTCTCTAAGGCTCTATCAGTTCTGACATTCTAGGCTTCATATATATTAAGTGGAGCCATATGTAATCACTGTGTAGGTTAGAAACAGCTGAGTATTGTAGTTTCATATATGGTTCCAGCTAATACATGCAATGTGGCTGGTGAATACTTCTGAATTCAGAAACTATCCCAAATCTCAGCTAGAACCATCCACTGTTCTGTTTGTCCAGTTCCAACTTAAGGGATCTCCATGTGGTCCCCAGAAGTACCCATTGAAACATGCATATTTGTGTATAGCAGAACTCTGAAATAATATTTTGATAGTAGTTATCTCTGAGGAATTGAATTATGGGTGATTTTCCCTTTCCACATTATAAATTTATGTAATATTTGACTGACTTGACCATAAGTATGTTACTTATATAATAAAAGGAAAAAAGGTACTTCCATTTTGAAAAAATAAAAATAGAAGCCTTTGGGTTCTTGAATGGAGATCATGGACCACATTTGCTGCCATGTGCGGTTATGTTGATGCTCTGCAAACCTGTGCTGAGCCCTGTTGCTCAAACCCTTCCTCATCTCTTCTTGAGGGAGAAGATGGAGACTTCCTCAAGGAGATGTGACATATAGGAAGACAACAGATTGAGAAATTTACAGCTGATAGGACTTTAGACACCACCCAGCCCAAACTTCCAAATAAAATATGGGACGCAAGTGGGTGTAAGAATGAATGGTCAGGTGATGAATGCCATAAGGATTTTGAGAAATGAAATTGACTAGGCGGAGTCAGAGAGAGGTAGAATGTGAACTTGGCTTTGAAAGCGAGGACAGAGCTAAATGGGCAGAGTGAATGAAGGGAACAAGATCAGGGAAGCCTGGAGGCAGATGTCAGGGAGCTCCTTCTTGATGAGGGCAGGTAGGCTGGGGAGACAGCAGGAAGCAGGCCTCCTGGGGCTACTCTATGACTTCAGTGTCCCCAGTGGAGAAGGTTCCCCTTCACACAGTCCTCATACTCCATGGGCTTAATCATAAAATACAAATTATTTCGGTTGCAAGTTACAGGCACCTGATGTATATTAGCATAAGTACAGAAGGGAATTTCTGAAGTGTATGGGGTAGTTCACAAGTTTAAAGAAGGAGCTACAGACACCAGGGCAACTGCAGGGATCTCGGGTCCTGGAACAACAGATCTGCCTGAATTCACAAACTAAGAGCTCAGTATGTTTCCTTAAATACACCCAGGTTGGGCTAAATAAAATTCTAGGATTTGAAGGGAGTAAAATTTAAACATTCTAATATCCTACGGTGGCCAGGCACAGTGGCTCAAGCCTGTAATCCCAACAGTTTGGGAGGCGAGGCGGGTGAATCACTTGAGGTCAGGAGTTCGATCCAGCCTGATCAACATGGTGAAACCCCACCTCTTCTAAAAAAATACAAAATTAGCCAGATTTGGTGGTGCACACCTGTAATCCCAGCTACTTGGGAAGCTAAGGCAAGAGAATCTCTTGAACACAGGAGGCAGAGGTTGCAGTGAGCCAAGATCATGCCATTGCACTCCAGCCTGGGCAACAAGAGTGAAACTCAATCTCAAAAAAAAAAAAAAAAAAACCCCCCCCCCCCCCCCCCCCGCCATGGTATAGTCACTCCACGCAGCCCTCCCTCCAACCCTGTTTTCTGGGAGCCTGTCCTGCAACCACTTGTAAGTCAAAGCCTGTAGGAGCTTTGGCCTCACAGGTTCTGCCCTCTGCTGGCCAAATCCTGACACATCACCTTAAGCCCTCAAAGCAAAACCAATCCTCAATTCAACAGGTATTATTGAGTGCCTACTATGTGCCAAGCATTCACCTAGGCACACTTGGAATACATAAGTAAACAAAAAATCCCAGAAGTCTCTGCACTAATACTTAAGAGCATTTACTCCATGCAAAGCATTGGTCTAAGCGTTTTACACACTTGAACTCATTTAGTTTTTAAAACCCTCATAACAACCCTATGCAGTAAGTAGGTATTCCTTACAAGTACTTCCATAGAGCCCAGTTGTTTTTGACCTAGCACCTGCATGTACTTTCAGCCCAATTTAGGTCCCATGGTATACACAGCCTGGAGCATGGATCTGAACAGTCCCCGGAAATGAATGAGAAAGTGATTTGGGAAAAGGATGGCAGAGTACTGACACCTGTGGTCTGAAGTTGGGTTTCCTGGAAACAGATCTTGAGACAGTCTTTTTTTTTTTTTTTTTTTTTTTGAGACAGGGTCTCGCTCTGTGGCTCAGGCTGGAGTGCAGTGGCCTAATCAGGGTTCACTGCAGCTTCGATTTCCTAGGCTCAAGCGATCCTCCCACATCAGTTTCCCAAGTAGCTAGGACTACAGGCATGTTCCATCCCATCCAGCTAATATTTTATTTTAGTAGAGATGAGGTCTCACTATTTTCCCAGGCTGGTCTCAAACTCCTGGGCTCAAGCAATCCTCCCGCCTCAGCCTCCTAAAGGGCTGAGATTATGGACGTGAGCCACCACACCTGGCCATCCAACAGACATTGATGGGAAGTGTTTTTCAGGAAAAACCCTCAAGGGAGAGAGTGGAGTAGACAGGAAAGGGAAAGTACCATACAAAGTGTGTCTCGGTCACATCTAGCCTTAGCCTGATCCACAGGGAACTGTTATATATGGGGGCATAAGTCCCACAGCAGAATTACACTCCCTTGAGACAAGGCAGCTGGTCTTTTGTATCCCCAAAGCAGTCAGTCATTGGTTGTGGGTCACCCTGGCAGGGAAGGGGGACAAGAAGGTTTTGAGGAGGTTCCCATCAGCTGTGGGGAAGGGAGCAGCTGTGAGCTACTGCAGAATAGAGCAGTGGAAGAAAGGTAAGCAAAGGAGTGCTCTTGGTTGGAGATTAGCAATAGCCTCGTTCCTTGGGAAGGTTCTGAAGCTCTTTTTTCATCACAGAATTGGCCCCACCTTTTGTGACCTTATTTTGCTACCCTATATCAGTCATTGGCTGCTAGTTGCTACAGGGGTACTTACTCTCCCAGGGCGTGCTCATATTTGACTCAGGCCAAATCTCTGGGGATGGGGACAGCTCTAGGCTGATGACGGCAGCCTGGCGAAGGGAGCTCTGGGGCCCCATCAGCATCCATGATAGCTGTGCTGTTGGGCAAACGAAAGTAGAAGCAGAGTGTCACATCTTGGGAGCTCCTTCTAGTTTAAGAGACAAGAAGCACACACCAAATAATGAACAAAAATAGGACAATACCAAATAGAACTAAGTAGGAAACAGTATCATTAAGCATCAAAAAGTGTGGGGGACAGATACTAATGCGGTGGTCAAGAAGAGGAGAGGACATGAGGCACAGTGGCTCACTCCTGTAATCCCAACACTTTGAGAGGCCAAGACAGGCAGATCACTTGAGGTCAGAATTTCAAGGCCAGCCAGGTGAAATCTCTTCTCTACTAAAAAAAAAAAAAAAAAAAAAAAAAAAAAAAGTAAAAAAATGAGCTGGGTGTGGTGATGTGTGCCTGTAATCCCAGCAACTCAGGAGGCTGAGGCAAGAGAATCACTTGAATCCAGAAGGCAGAGGTTGCAGTGAGCTGAGATGGCGCCACTGTACTCTAGCCTGGGTGACAGAGCAAGACTCTGTCTCAAAAAACAAAAACCAAAAAACAACAACAAACAAAAGGGTGGGTGGAGGGGGAGAGGGAAGTTCATGCATGTTTCCGGGAAGAAGTAGAATTTGTAGTGGAATATGAAGAACTGGTAGGATTTGGTTAGAAAGTCCAATGTAGGGCCAGGCACAGTAGCTCACTCCTGTAATCCCAGTACTCTGGGAGGCTGAGGCGGGTGGGTCACCTGAGCCTGGAAAGTCAAGTGGCTGCAGTGAACTGTGATAATGCCCCTGCACTCCAGCTCTCAAAAAGTAAGTAAATAAATACATAAAATAAAAAATGAAGGTCCAGTATAGTATGAGCCAAGCTCAGTGTTCAAAGTAGGTGGATGGCTTTGCCCTACTCAAACATTCAGAGACTGAGGATAGCAACTGTCATTTTCAACATGTAGCTTCCAAGGTCACTCATTGTCAAAGCATTTTCTGGTTAGTGAGGAAAAAGACAAAATAGAATTCCAGGGCCAGGGATTTACTCTCAAGAAAGCAAGGCAAAAGCTGCGTACATCTCTTCTGCTTAGCTCCATTGATGAGGGCTTAAACAACATGGCCACAAACTGGCTGCAAGGGGAGCTGGCAAATGAGGTGCCTATCTGAGTAGTCAAGTCCCAGCTAAACATCTATCACTGTGGAATAAGGAGAGAATTATTTTTGGTGGACAGCCCCAGAAATCTGCACCCCACCCTCCTCACTCTCCCCAACAGGCAGGCTCCTGTCTTCACCATACCCTCCTAACTCTCCCCCACAGGATTAGTTAAGATAAAAACATTTATAATCCTGCTGGGAAGGAAGAAGTGCTGTTACTCTGATTAGATCATGTTTTGGAGGGAGGGGGTGAAGACGGGAGCCTTTTGAGTATAACTTAGCCTATCCTGGGAGTGTGACTTTTGCTCTTTTTTTTTTTTTTCTGGCACAGGTGAGTCTGGTCTCTCCTGTCATTGGAATAATATCCAAGATTTCGGTTTAGGCATAGGAGAAACAGACAAAGCAAGGCTTTCAGCCAACCACAGCCAACCTTGTATGGAAAAGGAATCTTGTTTCAGGTGCTGCTAAGAAACCAAGAACATTATTTCCCTGGGTGAAATGAGAGAACGATCTGTGGCAGTGGTTGAACTCTGAGGGAGAATGAGCTCCTGGGAACAAGAAACGCAGAAATTCATGAACAGGAAAGAAAAATTAATATTTTATGAACAACTGAATTCCTCATTGCACGCAGGGAGCTGACTCACCGAGGTTACAGCTCCTTCTTGGGGCGGCTCACAACCAATGAGGGGCTGATACAGGGATCCAAAGGTCTGAGTCCATCACCGATTTGGGGCAACTCTGAGGGGCCACCTTAGTTCCGGAATTCCCCAGAGGATCAGCTGAGGCTTCAGTGGCAACTACCTTGTGCGTTAGCTTCTTCCTCTGCCCACCCCTGCTTTCTCATTTCCTATTTCCCAAGAATACTTCCCCCAACAACCTTCTGCATGCAATTCTCCATCTCAGTCTGTTTCCAAGAAAATCAATACTTCCTCAAGAACTGTGCCCTAACATGGAGTTCATTCCAAAGTCAGTACCAGTAATAATAGAGCAATGGGATGATAGAATGTAGATAAGGTAGTTAGTGGTTCTAGCAAACTAAAAAGACAAGGCAGTGAGAGACAGCAGTGTAGGAAACAGCCAGCTCTATTCCTTGAAAAAGAACTAGCCACTAGAGGGCCCAGCACTACAGGTTTACAGCTCTGCTGCCACTTTTTAGAGCACAGAATTTTACCCTTCATCTGGCAGACATCCAGCATAATTGTCCACACAGCTGGGAACATTGTTGGCCATGCTTCCTTCTCTTTTACCTATTCTGGAGACACCAGTGTCCTGGCCTGTTCCGATACCCTAGCACCAAGCCCCCATGCCATTACATATAAGCCTATTCCCATAAATAAAGGCTTCCAACGCCTGTTTTTTCTACCCACTGTTCTCATTGTTCCAAGGGACTCTGAAGATGTGAAATGTGAAATCCAAATAGTTGATTGTGACCATCCTCACCTAGGAATGGAGAGAATCAGCAACATATTGTCTAGTCCTGCCACTTTCTCGACCCCCCCATCCCCCCACCCACCAATTTGTAATAACGACACATAGACTTAGATGCAAAATACAGTAGCCAAGGGAGAAAGGGGATATCAGAACCTTCTCAGAAGATGAAAAAGTTTGAGAACATTGTGTAATTGAGTGAATTAATGAGTTATTTCTACCATGGATTTATTTAAAGACTCAAAGGAAATTTTCTTCTGCACCCTATTTGGAAGGACAGTCCTTTGCAGGTTGGGGGATTTCCCTTACCTCAGGAGGAAAATATTGGGAGGTCTCTGTTTCCAAAGTATAAATTCCTCAAGGATCAGAGTTAGATTGTCTGTGAGAGGGAAAACTCTGAGGGTTAAAGGGACAAGAGCTGGATTCTACAAGACCAGGAGGATGGAGGGGTGGTGGAAATCAGCCCATGAACTCTCCCCCATTGCCCTCCTAGTATCTCCGGCAGTGATGACTACAAAGACTCCTGGGGGATAATTACCAAACCACAGCTTTGGGACCATACAGGAGTTCTGGGTGGCCAGGTTTACAATGGAAGGAGTAAATGTCTTATGCAAGTGGGCCAGATACCTCTGGCTGCTCCACACCTGCTTGGACAATGAGCATCTGCAACACAACTGCAATGGACCGAGACTGTCCCCCAGGTTTTCTGGATTGGGTAAGCCCTGGGGTTTTTGCATCCCCACAAAGTCTCTGAAATTAGCTGTTCCACAAACCTGGCAGGTGGGGGTGAAGCTAAATTTAATTGGATTTGAATTAGATAAAAATTTGATTTGATTCAGCAAGGAGTAAAGAAATCTAATATTCTTCTACTTGCTATTGAGCAAATTAAATGGGTTACAATATTGGGAGTTCTGATATCGTAATAGCAAACCTAGCCTGGCCCAGTTAATAAAAGAATAGTAATACTCTATTGAGGGGTTGCCATATGTTAGGCAGTGCATTCTTCCATTTAATCCTCAAAATATACCTAGGAGGTAGACTGAGACTTAGAGAAGTCAAGTGGGTTGCCTAAGGTCACATGGTTAGTAAATGGCAAACCAAGTTTGTCGGACTCCATGTCTAACTTCTACAGCCATTCATTCCCTGTTGTCTAGCCATTCATTCACTGATATCTAATCCATCATTTACTAATCTGTTTAGCCAGATATGCATTCAGAAGTAAACAGAATTAAGTTATTCTGTTCCTTAAACAATGAGACAGATCTAGTTGGAGTTTAAAGAACCAAAAGAATCTTAGAATCACAGAATGTTTGCACTGGCAGCTGGTCTAGTGGGAAGAGCAAAGCTTTAGAACCAGGTGGACTAGATTGGAATCTTGGCTCTGCTATTCATTCTGTATGTGATCTTGAGCAATTTATTTAACCTAATTATCAGCTTCCATATCTGTATATCACAAATATATGCATATTCTCACTAGACTAATATGAAGAGTAGAGATAATGTCACATGGAACCAGTGCAAAGATGCAAGTCCCAGCACAAAATGAAAATGCTGGCACTTTGTTCAAAAATTACCAAGAATTTAAAGATGGTGACAGCAGAGTATTAAACCAAGTGTGGGGGCCCTTCTGAGCATAGGCCATGGTGGCACATCCACAGCCTGGCACAGAGTGGGTCTGCAATAAATTGTAGTCCTTTTCTCTCTAGATCACTGATTATAACCGTCTCCTTTTGCAGATGAGGAAACTGGAGTTCAAAGAAAAGCTTAAAAATGCAAATTAGGGCTGGGCGTGGTGGCTCACACCTGTAATCCCGGCACTTTGGGAGGCCAAGGTGGGTGGATCATGAAGTCAGGAGTTCAAGACCAGCCTGGCCAACCTGGTAAAACACCATCTCTATTAAAAATTTAAAAATTAGCCAAGTGTGGTGGCAGGTGCCTGTCATCCCAGCTACTTGGGAGGCTAAGACAGGAGAATCACTTGAACCCAGGAGGCGGAGGTTGCAGTGAGAATTACTTGAACCCGGGAGGTGGAGGTTGCAGTGAGCTGAGTTCACCCCACTGCACTCCAGCCTGGGCAATAGAGCAAGACTCCGTCTTGCAGGGGTGGGGAAACGCAACTTAGTACCAGAGCCAAGACCACAACCAGACCTCCTTTGTTCCCAGCCAGTGGTCTTTACCCAGCATTTCCAAAGCAGGTTCTATATGATGATAATAGATATTCCATATATAAAAGTTTCCATCAACAAGCAAGTTTATAAAACACTGGATTAACGTTAAACAGACATCCTTTGCAGAACTCTTCAGAACACTTTCATGTGCAACAGGAATCTCCAAGACAGGGATATAATACGGAACATTGCACAAAAGTATTTGACATGGAACCCTTTTTCAGGAGCATATTAAGTATCTCTCAGAACTCTTTCAGAAATGCCACTCTAAACACTGCCCCAGGGTGATGGAAGTTTCCATGGGTTT